TCCTAACCTTGTGGTCTGCCCGCCTTGGCCTCCCAAAGTGCTGGGATTACAGGCGTGAGCCGCCATGCCCGGCCTCCACAGGGCACTTTGAATGTCCCTGTTTCTCAGGCTGTAGATGAATGGGTTCAGCGTGGGGGTGACCACAGTGTACGTCACTGAAGCCACCGCAGCCTTTCTGAGGGAAGAGAACACACCTGAACTGAGGTACACGCCAAGGAATGTTCCATAAAATAAGCAAACAACTTCCAGGTGAGAGCCACAGGTGGAGAAGGCTTTATACTTCCCACCTAAAGATGGAACTCTCAAAGTAGAGGAGACAATTTTATAGTAAGAGAAAACAATACCTGAGATAGAAAAAAAATCCAAATATTACAACAAAAATATACATAATGATGTTATTGATGAAGGGGTCAGAACAGGCCAGGGTGAGGAGTTCAGAGGGATCACAGAAGAAATTGGAAATTTCCACATCCTCAAAGCAGGTAATTTGTAAGGCAATCAAATTGTGCATCTGGGAGTCCAACAGGCTAAGAAAAAAAGACACCAATATTAAGAAGCCACAGAGGCATGGGTTCATGATGACTGGGTAGTGCGGGGGGTGACAGATGGCCACAAACCAGTCATAGACAATCATGGTCAGCAGCATGTCATCCACACACCCAAAAATTATAAAGACAGACATCTGTTTCAGGCAGCCTGCATAGGAGAGAACTGCTGTGAGCCTGGATGTCCACAATCATCTTGGGAATGATGGTGGAGGTGAAACCAATGTCAGCCAAGGACAGGTTGGAGAGGAAAAAGTATGTGGGGGTGTGGAGGTGGGAGTCATAGCTGATGGCCAGGATGACGAGAAGGTTCCTCAGCATCATGACCAGGTACATGAACAGGAACAGCCCAGTGAGGATGGGCTGCAGTTCTTAATCATACCTTTTTGCATGCAGTGGCTGCCCTCCACCAGCGAGGAGAGCAAAAGGCCAATTTGACAGGCTTTTGTATCCGCGCTCGTGGCTCCTGAGAACTTTTCCAGCATCTAGGAAAAATGAGCTTGCATGAACGAATTGAAGGGTGTTAAATGTGGGAGGGATTTTATGGCTGATCAAAGTGGCTCTCAGGTAAGGGAAGCTGAAAAGCAGATGGGGCAGGTAGATAATGAAGTCCAGCCATCTCCTGCCGAATTCTTCTCTGAGGTCAAGCTGTCCTTCTGAGGTCAAAGCTGCTTCTCTCTGATGTCCAGCCATAGTTTCATCTACTGGCTGAGTCTGGGGTTTTTATAGGCATAGGATGGGGTGGGGCAGGGCCATGGGTGGTTTAGGAAATGGTAATATTCAAGCAGGAAAGTAGGGATATAAGTTCTCACTTTGGGCTGCAGTTTCAGAGTTTTTGGCTTGAAGACGGGGTTTTGCCTGGGAACTGCCCTTTTCTGCCTAGAATTTCTCCACCCTCTGTCCCTATCACCCTCAAGGCCCCACTCTTCCTGGGGTAATAGGGCCTGGTTATTTCTACACAATATGAGGATTCTCCAAAGAGCAGCCCTAGCTTTAGAGCTCCCCGTTGAGTTGGCAGAAACTTTCTCAGATCTGCATAAACATCTCTTGTGGTCTAAATTGCATCCCCCAAAGTTAATATAGTGAAGTCCTCACCCCCAATGTGATGACTGTCTTTGGATACAGGGTCCTTAGGGAGGTAATTAAAGTTTAACGAAATCATAAGGGTCAGGTCTTGATCTAATAGGACTGATATTCTTAGAAGAAGAAGAGACACCAGAGATATAAAACCAGCTATATTTAAATGTGTATTTTAATCACACTTCATCCAGTAGGAAAACAAATAAACACTGTTGATCTGTTCATGATCCAACACACAAACAACAAAAACCCACATGCAAACACATAGAAATAAAGTTAGTGAACAATCAATAGCTTAAGAACTCTGGGCCAGGTGCAGTGGTTTACGCCTGTAATCCCAGCACTTTGGGAGGCCGAGGTGGGCGGATCACGAGGTCAGGAGACCGAGACCATCCTGGCTAACATGGTGAAACCCCCTCTGTACTAAAAATACAAAAAAAAAGTTAGCAGGGCGTGGTGGCGGGCGCCTGTAGTCCCAGCTACTTGGGAGGCTGAGGCAGGAGAATGGCTTGAACCTGGGAGGCAGAGCTTGCACTGAGCCGAGATCGCGTCACTGCACTCCAGCCTGGGCGACAGAGCGAGATTCCGTCTCAAAAAAAAAAAAAAAAAAAAAAGAACTCTGTGCCACCACTTGAGATACAAAGCTATAGCAAATGCTTCAAATCCAAGTTCAGAACTTACTAATGGAGAATTAAGAATGTTGACCAAGGACACAATTTTTGAACGGTACCTAGGACAGAAGCGCCATCAAGGAAATTACTTGGAGATTAATTGTTAACCTACACCCCCATGTTTATCACAGTACTATTCACATTAGCAAAGATATGGAATCAACCTATGTGTCCATCAATGGAGGATTGGATTTTTTACAAAGTGGTACCTTAAAGAACTAGAAGGCTGGGCACAGTGGGTCACGCCTGTAATCCCAGCACTTTGAGAGGCCGAGGTGGGTGGATCACCTGAGGTCAGGAGTTCAAGACCAGCCTGGCCAACATGGTGAAACCCCCGTCTCTACTAAAAATAAAAAATTAGCCGGGCATGGTGATGGGCACCTGTAATCCCAGCTACTCAGAGGCTGAGGCCAGAGAATCGCTTAAACGCAGGAAGCAGAGGTTGCAGTGAGATGAGACCGTGCCACTGCACTCCAGCCTGGGCAACAGAGCAAGACTCTGTCTCAAAAAAAAAAAAAAAAAAGAACTGAAAGTAGAACTACCTTTCAGTCCAGCAGTTCCACTACTGGGTATCTACCCATAGGGAACAAAGTCATTATGTGAAAAAGACACATACACGTGCATGTTTATAGCAACACAATTTGCAATTACAAAGGTATGGAACCAACCTAAGTGCCCATCAACCAATGATAAAGAAATGTGGTATATATACACCATGGAATACTACTCAGCCATAAAAAGGAACCAAATAATGTCTTTTGTAGCAACTTGGATGGAACTGGAGGCCATTACTCTAGGTGAAGTAACTTAGGAATGAAAAACCTGGGTTTCTCTGTATGGTCAACCAACATACATAAGATCCATATGAACATATCATATGTTCTCAGTTATAAGTGGGAGCTAAGCTGTGAGGACACAAAGGCATATGAACAATATAATTAACTTTGGGGACTTGAAGGGGTAAAAGTTGGGAGGGGGAATGAGGAATAAGAGACTACATATTGGGTCCAGTGTACACTGCTTGGGTGATGGGTACACTAAAAATTCAGAAGTCACCACTAAAGAACTTATCCGTATAACAAAAAACCACATGTACCCCAAAAACTATTGACATAAAAATAAACTTTAAAAAAAAAGAAAACATGGTATATATCTATACCGATATCTATGTAGATATCTATATATACACAATGGAATACTACTCAGTCATGAAAAAGAATGAAATCATGTCTTTCACAGCAACATCAATGGGACTGGAAGCCATTCTTTTAAATAAGGTAGTAAAGAAAGAGAAAGTCAAATGCTGCATGATGTCACTTATAATTGGGAGCTAAACAATGTATATGCATGGGCATTATAACGGAATAATGGACACTGGAGACTGCAAAAGGTGAGAGGGGAGTGAGAGTTTAAAAATTGCCTTGGCAGGCATGGTGGCTCACGCCTGTAATCTCAGCACTTTGGGAGGCCAAGGTGGGTGGATCACAATGTCAGGAGTTCGAGACCAGCCGGGCTAATATGGTGAAACCCCATCTCTACTAAAAGGCATGTGGTGGTGGGCGCCTGTAATCCCAGTTACTTGGGAGGCTGAAGCAGGAGAATCACTTGAACCCGTGAGGCAGAGGTTGCAGTGAGCCGAGATCACTCCGCTGCACTCCAGACTGGGCGACAGAGCGAGACTCCGTCTCAAAAAAAAAAAAAAAGAAAAAAAAATTGCCTTGTGTTCACTATTTGGGTAATCAGTACGCCAAAAGCTCAGACTTCACCCTTATGCAAATGCATGTTAAGAAATCTGCATTTGTATCCTCAAAGTATAAAAAAAATTATTTTTTAATTTTAAAGAGTGAGAATTTCAAAATAAAACCTTTTTGCCATTGGTGCTCACAAAACTAGTTAGTCCTGGGGCCGAGGGATCCATCACAGACAAGGAGTTGCCCTCCTGAGGAGTCTCCCCAGGGCCCCCTTCACATCCTTGTTCCTCAGGCTGTAGATGAAGGGGTTCAACATGGGGGTGACTACCGTGTACATCACCGAGGCCACGGAGATGTTCTGGGAAGAATGAGTCACCGCAGAAGTGAAGTGGACCCCAATGCCTGTCCCATAAAATAAAGAAATGACGGAGAGGTGAGAGCCACAGGTAGAAAGTGCTTTCTCTTTTCCCCCAGATGAGGACATCTTCCTTATGGATGAAGCGATTCGTGAATAAGAGAAAATGATCCCAAGGAGGGGAAAAACGCCCAGCACACCCGTCATAACATATATCAACGTGCTGTTCAGGAAGGTATCAGAGCAGGCCAGCTGGAGGATGTGTGTCAGTTCGCAGAAAAAATGTGGAATTTCAAAATCTTTACAGAAGGTTAGATGCGTCATCAGAGAAATATGGAGGAGGGATGTCATGACACCAATGAGCCACGTGACAAAAACCAGGAGGCCACAGAGGCGGGGGTTCATGATGGTTATATAGTGCAGGGGGTGGCAGACGGCCACAAACCGGTCATAGGCCATCACGGTCAGGAGTAGCGTGTCCAGAATAGGAAAAAACATGGAGAAATAGACCTGGGTGAGGCAGTCCATGTAAGAGATGCTTTTGTTCTTGGTCTGGATGTTCACCAGCATCTTGGGGACGATGCAGGTGCTGAAACAGATGTCAACCCAGGACAGGTTGGAGAGGAAGAAGTACATGGGGGTGTGGAGGTGGGAGTCAGAGCTGATGGCCAGGATGATGAGCAGGTTTCCCAGCACCGTGATCAGGTACATGGACAGGAACAGCCCAAATATGAACGGCTGCAGTTCTGGATCCTCAGAGAGTCCGAGAAGGATAAACTCTAAAAATCCTGTTTGGTTTTCTGCTTCCATGTAGCTGATGTATCTACAAAAGAAGAGGTAATTAGTCAGGCGTGGTGGTAGACACCTGTAGTCCCAGCTACTCGGGAGGCTGAGATGGGAGGATCACTTGAGCCCAGGAATTTACAGCTGCACAGAACTATGTTTGCACCACTGCACTCCAGCCTGGGCGATAGAGGGAGACCTGTCTCAAAAAATAAAAATAAAAAATAAAATAAAAATAAAACTATGTATATATGTATTT